ACAAGACCAATCTTCAGACTTGATCTGCACCGGGACTTGAGCCGTCGACCCTCCAGTTCCCAACCCAAGCCCCTACAGACTGAGCTACTGCCGGCCCCTTTTTTTTAAGGGAGGTGAATAATTTTGTTTTCTTTTGTTTTTATTCCTTGTTAAGCGCTATTCAAGTCTAATGAATTATTATGATGTAGGGAACCCGAACAGACGAGCAGAGAGCCATTACCTGAGTCCTGGTTCACATAACATTGTAACCTTCTGCTTCACAGTTTCTCGATGTCACAGAAATAACAACGATGATGAAACTGCGGGAAAGGATTCTTCTCCAAAAGAGGATATAGAAACTTTCTGTCAAATATATATGTATATATATATATATATATACCTGGGGAAGTCTGGCAGAGAGAAGAAGAGCTGTGCACGCTGAAAGGAAAGAAAAATAGAGGCTAAAAAGTTTGAAACTATCTGAAGAGTTTGGGTAAATTCTCCTCATCTCAGCTTAGCGTGAAGTTTTGGCAGGTTGTCAGTACGAGAGTGTGGACAAAATAACACCTCAGGGAAAGAACCAAAGTGTTGTTTCGTGTGTGGATCATCGTCTCTCTCTTCTTCTTCTCTCTCGGTGTTTGAGCGCAGGACCTGCAGATTTGATTTCACAGCTGATAAACTGAACATGGACGAGTCTCTGTGAGCAGCTCTGACCTTCAGAGCGGGAATAACATCGTGTTAAAGGCCAAGCCGAGTCTATCCACAGCACTGACCCCTCGCTAAATGAACAGGCTGACCTTTGACCTGCTGCAATGAAAGTGGTGTATGTCCTGTATGTTGACATTCAACTCTAAGAACTACTCCAACATGACATCAGTCTTTTCAAACCTTGATTTCCACAACCCACATCGCAGTGTTTGAAACACATGGCTTGGTGTAAAACATTTTGTCCACTTTATTTATTTAAAGGGAAACCTACATTTTTGATTTTGAAATCTTTTTCAGCCCCATTTGAACTTCAGATCTCTTGAACGAGACAGCAGAAAAGCTCATGGTCGAACAGTTTCTCTGAATAGATTAAATCAAGTGTGAATGGAAGCAGGCTTGTTTTTTAATTATTCATTTGTTTGCAGCAGGGTGGGTTTGAGCTCCGGCAGCAGGTTGATTAAAAGTGGAACAGCAGCCTGAACACTATTCAGTGTAAATCAACAGGAAGGCCTGAGGTGGTCAATGTATTTCTGCTGACCAGAATAACATCAAAAACAGTCTGTCTGCTGTGTGATTACAGAAAAAAACATTCCTCTCTGTATCACGCTCTTTAAGATGTATTCTGCTGCGGTCTCTCAGTAAAAACTTGAGCTTTTTATTGCAGAAGAGGAAGCGTTCTGTGTAAGGCCTCGGAGGGGGACGCTGGCGGCTGCTTGATGTGACACCTCGCTGTGTTCGGGGACGATGATGTAATCTTCATCTGAGCTCGTCTGAACATTCAGTCTGCTGCATCAGTGCTTTCTCAAACTGCTGTCAGCCATGTTTCCCCCTTTTTTTGATCGGAGGATCAGAAGAAACCTGAACATTTCCTTTACTTATGACTGACACTGGCTCAGGCGGTTTTATTTTCCCTCAGCATAGGACTCTCTGTAACATCACCTTCTCTTAAAACAACACACTGTAAGAATGTTTTTAAAGTGAAATGTTTTATGTAGGACCAATATGGAATTTTTGGGGCCGATACTGATATGGATATGAGGACAACAAAAAAATCTGAAACGGATAAATCGGCCGATATCTTTCTTCGATTTAAGTTTGATCTTTAGAGACAGATTGATATAGATATGCACACACCTTGTTTTCTGTCGATCCCTCAAATGCAGTTAAAGGCAGGGCTGGTCATATAGCATGATTTTGAAAGTTGCATTCCTTCAGTGCTTTGTCTACACCAAGCCCCTCCCCTCTGTCCTCCCTCTAAAGCCACGCCCCTCACTTACATGCACGAGCGCCGTTGCTCCAGAGTTGCTCTAGAGAACGAGCAGGGAGACAGGGAGGCTGTGATTGGTTCATCAGATTGGTAGCTCCAGGCAGACATTGGTAGAAGTTTTTACAGGCTTACAAACTGCTACAGATGACGGATTTTCTTTGTTCCTTTTTCAGAGCACATGAGTTTTAAAAAAAAATACTGACCCTGCCTTTAATAAACACTTGTGAAAAGATATATTATGAAAACAAGATGGTCACTCAACTGGAAAGTAAGTGTGCATGCACGTGCTTGACACTCTGGAGAGTGATAATACGTGTTGTAATCCAAATAGCTCGCTCTGATGGTGACAGCCAGAGAGAAATATAATGTTACTCACATGAAATGCAATTTGACTGGTGAATAAATCTGGTAATATTGGCGCATTTTTGTCTCTCTTTCTAAGATCACAAACACTTCCCATGTCATCTCCAAACTAGGACTCTCATCATCAATGTACATACTCAGGTCTCCAGTCAGAGAACAGTAGCATCAACAAAAGACTCATAAACTATATTTAGAGGAAATCTGAGTGAATCGCTCCACCTGTCCTCCGTCTCCCCACAGACACCATAATGAGCAAAATCCTCCATCTGGCGCTCGCTTACAGCAAACTCAACCCCAAAATCTGCATAAAACTGTTGTCTGAATGTGCTCAATTTCATTTCTGCTCCAATTAGTATTTTGTTGAGAGGCTGCGGAGCTTGTTGGGCTGTGCCTTTCATGCTCAGAAACCGATCAATCAACAATCAGTCAGAGCATCGCATGAATCGGTATGCTGTCTCTGCTTTAAAGAGACAAACAACTAACTGTTGTAGCTTGGAACAGCAAAGAGGAATCTATTGACCGTTAGCAGCTAAATGTCTAGCCCTTGTGACCGCTTGCAGAAGAGATTCATCCATAGTTTGTATTGCCTTTGAAAAGCAAAAAAACCACAAAGAAAAGAAAAAGAAACATGTAAGAAAAGGATGACATGAGCTGTAAATGAAAGCATGTTTGGCTATAAAACTAAAACCAAACAAGCTAACCTCAATGTTACTTTTTCTTTACGTTTAGCCCTATTGTCTTATTCTAAATCTTACATGTTACAATTCACTTAGCAGACACTTTTATCCAAAGCGACGTTCATCAGAGAGTAAGTACAACACTAATCCATTCATACACCGCCACCGAAGCAGCTGGAGCAATGCGGGGTTAAGTTCTTGCCCAAGGACACATCGGACATGTTGCTCAGCTGGGAATCTAACCCTCGACCTTCCAGTTGAGAGTAGACGACTCTACCAACTGAGCCACAGCCGCCCATCATGATATCACACTGTAATACATAAATACAAGAAGAATGTCATTATTATGTTTTCTAGAAAGATTGTGATTCAGGGGCCCCGGTTAGCCAAGCGGTTATGTCGCATACCCCATGTACAGAGGGCATGGTTCTTGTCGCCTCGATTGTGGGTTCAAATCTGACCTCGGCCGTTTGCTGCATGTCGTCCCCACTCTTTCCTCCAAACATTACCTGTCTCTCATGGCTGTACTATCCAATATAGGCAAAAAGCCCCAAAATTCAGATGTTTACTGTTAACGCTATCTGTTAGCATTAGCTTCGGTTTGCTATCCTGATGTCATATAAGGTGCATAAAATTCATATTTCCAAAGTTGTCTATTTTGAATCAAATCATGCCATTACTTAACACCCACAACGATCAAATTAATGAGGTCGCTAGCTGGAGCTTCCTTCAATTAAGTACAGGTATGCAGCGCTAAAGTACTTATATGGACTGTAGCTAATCGAAGGGTTTTCCCATCATAGACTGTGTATTAAGATGATCAGAGAAACAGCAACCTTGGAGGGAAGCCAAAAATGTAGAGCTCCTTCTGCAAACAGCAGGGAGACTAGGTGAGTGAGGTCTTGTGAGAAATTTTGCGACTTGTCGTATGAAACGGGGCTGCACCGTCAGTCAGATCTCTTCTGCGCAAATCCAGGCTTTGCTTCAAATGACCTCACTGATGCAATATGTCAGCACCCGTTGCAGAGGTATTTTAACTTCACTTTTGCACAATGGGAGGAGGTCATGTGAACTAAAGTCAATGATTCACACACACGTTCATGCACTGATAGCAGAGGATGCTATGCAAAGCGTCCATCTCTTTTAAGTAATTACACTCATATGCTGCTGAGCTCATTTGGGGTTCAGTGTCTTCCCTAAGAGGACACATGGAGTGCTGGAGCTGGGATCGAACCGGTAACCTTTAGGTTAAGAGACAACTGGCTCTGCCACTGAGCCGCAGCCGCCTAAAGATCATGAGAACCAAGAAAAGTAATTTTGATATTTGATCCACCGTTGATGTTATTGAATTTTATCTGTGTATTGTTCTATGTCTTCTCTCTTATGAAATGTGTGTGTGTGTGTGTGTGTGTGTGTGTGTGCGCATGACTGGTTGATTTATATTTTACCGTTGCCATCATCTTCCCAGGGACAACAGATGGAAATTAGCTAGCTAGCTAAATCTGGTACAAAGCATCTCTTCTCTTCTGAGACTAATGTCTCAATTATTTTGTACACGATCCCTGATTCAAATAAAATAAAAAATTCAAAATAAAAAATTAAAGCTGTATAAGAGCTCGGCTTAAAGTATGCATGCTTCACAAAATTTACAAAAGCTTAAGCAACTAAAGCTTTGCATAATTTCTGCATCATATGCCATGTATTGTTTGCAAAACATTAACACAAAAAATAAAAAAATACAACTTGCAAGCAGAAACTCTCAGAGAGACAGCCCACATGAGGGAAAGGCAGTGCAGGTGAGTGATGCGTTCAGAACAGGAGCTTCCAAATCACAAAGTACGGGAGCTCAGCGTGTTGTCAGCGTGTCAAACACACACATGCAGTGTTTGTGTGAAGAACTGTAAATGCTGCTGACAGTGTGTGCTTCCATTTATAAACTCAGCTGGAGGGCCGAACATTACATTAAACATGACAGTGCATTATTTATCAGAGAGGCACACACTCACCCGCTCAGCTGACTGTGCCGTGCCGAAGAAGATGGGGATGAAGGCGAGCCAGATGATGCAGGTGGTGTACATAGTAAATCCAATGGGCTTGGCCTCGTTAAAGGTCTCTGGCACGCCGCGTGTCTTGATGGCGTAAACAGTGCATGTGACCATCAAGAGGATGCTGTATCCCAGGGAGCAGATGAGCGACAGGTCCGAGATGTCGCACTTGAGGACGCCGCGCGCGTTCCCGGGATCCTGCGTGCGCTGCTCACCGTAGTCCACAAACGTGTGCGGAGGATCTGCGATGAACCATATGAGGACTCCGAGTAGCTGAACGGAGATGAGTGAGAAGGTAATGACCAGCTGGGAGGCCGGGGAGATGAAGCGTGGCGCCGTCACCGCCTTCTTGCCCTGCTCGAAGATGCGGTGGATGCGGTTGGTCTTGGTGAGGAGGGCGGCGTAGCTGAAGCACATGCCGAGGCCCAGGAAGATCCGTCGGAAGGAGCAGACGACCACATCCGGAGCGGCGATCATGGGGAAGGTGATGATGTAACACAGGAAGATGCCCGTCAGCAACAGGTAGCTCATCTCCCGCCCTGAGGCGCGGACGATGGGCGTGTCTTTGTATTTGACAAAGGTGACAATGACAAAGGTGGTGGCGATGATGCCCAGGACAGAGATGAAGACGGGCAGCAGCGCCCAGGGCGAGTGCCACTCCAGCTTGATGATGGGGATGGGCTGGCAGCTGGTGCGGTTCCGGTCGGGTCTCTTCTCGTAGGGGCAGAGGTCGCAGGTGAACTCGCTGGCCTGGAAGTGGTATCCCTCGCAGCGCTCGCAGTGCCAGCAGCACGGCACGCCCTTCACCACCTTCTTCCTCTCTCCGGTCCGGCAGGGGAGGCTGCACACGGAGGCCGGCAGCGAGGGGTCGCCCGTGCTCCACTGCATGGCCTCCATCTGAGGGGAGGAGAGGGGCGGGGATCAGTAGTCATCTTGAAGTAAGAACTCAAGCACTGTTTTAACTCATTTCGCAGAAGATGATGACTCTGCAGAATTTAATAACCCAGAAATGTTTGAATGTGTTTCTTTGTTGTTATTGATCCTTACGTTTAGATGCAGCTGATTGGTCCAGTGCCCGATGACCTTGTACTCTGCTATCGACTGGTTGTTGATCTGATACTGGAAGATGTCGTAGCGTCCGGGAGCGTCGCCGTTCTCGTTGAAGGTGACCGGAGTCCCTGCACTTCCTGTAGAAACACACAGAAAAACAGAAGTCGTAGTGTGTATACAGTGTGTGTGGTTTTTTTTCTCCGTCATCTTCAGTCTGCTCTCTGTGAAAGTAGTAAGCTGATATTTAATCTACTTTCTCCTTGAGTTTTCCTCTCGGTCTGAGTCATCCTATCACAGCTTCTCCACCGCCTCGCCACCACAACAACCACACCAACGTCTCCTCACCATATTGACTGACTCCTTCCTGCCAAGTGAAAATCTCACACTGTGAGACACGCTTTGAATTGAGCCAACAGCCTAATATTAAAAAAAGAACATCTGACGGCATGAGGTAAAAAACATTTTCAACACGACTGCATACCAGAATAACATTTGAGATAATACTGTTCAGAGGATTTAAAGGTTTCTCACCTTGAAATGAAAACATAAAACCCAAAGTGATTCATCTCAAACCTGTCACATGATTATTACATCTCTCTACCCTTATGAAAAAATAAGGGTTGTCGCCTACTAGGGATTTACAAAGTCCAATCTGATTGGAATGTGGATTAATTTTTATTAATCCACATTTCCCTGAAATTATCTGTAAAAATGAATTTTCATGACTTTTATGACGTCAAAATGGCGGCTACACTCTGACTTTTCGATTGACATCTTATTTGGCCAATCATCACGACCTTTCATTCACCGTTCCCGGCATATAATAGCCAATGAAAGCTATTAGCCCCACTGCACCACCGTGCATCTTGCGACAGCGTTGCGTTAATTTTTGAAGGCAGCCAAAATGGATGCAGTAGATGAAGGGCCGCTGTGCACACGAAAAATAAATAAAAGCAAGTTTATCTCAAGCCACAGAGTGTTTGAGATCTGAAAGATACCGTGGAGCAAGGGCATGGAGGAAATGTGATTGTAATGCTCGGTGAAGTACCCTCTAAGTTTTTAAAGCAAATGAGAAACGAGAGAAAGCAGCGTCTCTCTCTGTGGTGTTTTCGACAGAGCAGATTGTTTATTTGAGGTTGGTTTTATTGTGTTTAATGACAAAGCTGCAGCTTGTGTGACCACAGAGTCCTAATGAACAACATGTTTGGAAATAATCTGGAGAAATGATGTTGATTCTCTCAGCACAGATTCTCTGAAGTGAAATGAAGTGTGTGTGTGTGTGTGTGTGTGTGTGTGGGGGGAGGGGGGCACCCTGAGGCGAGCTGTGGTGATTCATCTCGATGCTGATGTGATTTGCGATGCTTTTATTCATGATGAAGAAGGAAATCAGGACAGGATAGAATCAAAACCGACGCCCACTCACATCATTATGAATCTGTTTCTGTTGTTCTTTAGCTTCAATCTGCTGCTCGTCCTCTCAGCTTCAGCAGCTCCGAATTAATCCGCTTCCAGATCGAGACGCTTCTGAAACCCCCGACTTAAATCTGCCCTACAGGGAGGAACGCAGCACGACAATATACACGCCGTACAGCAAATACAGTAGCTGATGTTGCATACTGTCCAAACAGTGTGCCACACGAGCAAGCATCGTGACAAATCCAGATTGATTCCATTATTTCCTCTTGGAGCGTCCCAACAGAGCGAGAGCCATGCTTCAGGATGCAATGCCCCGTTTTTACCCTGACCCCCTCAGTTTCCATTTTCTTTTCTGTCACTTGTATAGACATGGACGAGGAACCAGGAAGGAGGGAGCTCAACGATCAGGAAACAAACTTTTCCCGATCGTCTTTTGCTTTTCTTGCTCAACAGAGCTTGTTAGTTTATTATAGAAAGTGGTGATAGTGCTGAATTTGTAATAACCATATCCATGATTTAAATGTAATGCTTATACTTGTGTCAACACCAAAGACAAATCTGATTCAGTTCATCGCTGTCAAATGCTCGTCAATACAATGTACCACACTTTGCCGTTTCTCCGCCTTCAAAACAAAAGCGCCAAATGTCATCCTGTTTTCAAGGGGAAACTGATATTTAACAGATGCAGTGCGGACGGTGAGCATCCATTTCTGCACGATGTGAAGCGATGTCTGAAGCACATGCTACAAGCTTTATACACAAGGCCGTCCCGTCCATGTAAACATGATGTAAACACGGCAACTTTACAGCTGGCTCATTGTAGACAGTCATGACTCAGAGAGACGATGGAGCAACAGTCACCTGAGAGTGAAGCCAGAATATTTAGAGCTCACCCTGCTGTTTGGCTGCATTGTAGGATGTAAGCTCCGCCTCCTCCATGTTAACAGATGAGACATGGGTCAGACTAGTTAAAATACATATTTTTTCTTTTTTTGTCAAAAGCGGGATTCTGTCGTCAAACCAACATAAGGATCGGTTCTGCTGCAGTCTGAACCCGCCTCATGGGTCTTAATGTGTGTTTCTGACAGCAGAACGACCGAGGCGTCAATTCCAGAAGCCAGCTCCCTTCTGCATGACTTGGCTCTAAGGTCTAGTCCAGTGGTTCTCAACTGGTGGGTTTCTCCATTACATGTTGTCTATCTTCTACTGCACACCTTTTTCATGAAATAAATCTGATTGGTTGAAAAATATCAGAAACTTCTGGGCGCGATTTCTCATGGCTGAGTCGGTGGCAGGTCCTGAGGCTAGACGAGCTGAGAACCACTGGTCTAGCTTTTTCTCTTGGTTTTGGCCCTTCGGTCACATTTAAAATACATTTTAGGTTATTGAAAAAGCACCATATCGAAAACTCCTTCCAGGGTGAAGATTTCCAGAAACAGGGAAGAGAGAAAACAGGAACGTTTGACATACTGCAGAAACAAACAGCCCAGCTCTTGATTCTTCTTCCTATGTTCAGCACTTTGTAAAAAAGCTGCACATTTGAAGTGAAGTCACAGCGGGAGATGGGCTCTTCACATATTCATCACTTAGCTCACCTACATATCTGCCCTCCTCCCCTCCCCTCTCCCACCCCCCACTCCTTTCACTGATCTGACTGTAAATGTTTCCTCTTCCTGCAGCTCAACAGGGTCAGTCATGCTGCATCCCTCTTAAAAAACAGCAAACAAGCTTTTATCGCCTCTTAGTAAGCGTCTGCTGTCCCAATGAATCAGGTAGGGACCTCCCTGATGCCCCTCTCCCCCACAGCTCGCCCCCGCTCTGCTGATCGTGGTCGAAACAGAACTTTTAACAGAAGACGGCTTCAGCGGAGCGAACGCCAACATTAGCACAAGCGTCTCAATTAGTCTCCCGACGCTCCTCTAAAAATAAAGCACACAGGCGAGCGAGGAGCACACGGGTGAGCTGGCGATTACCTTGCGGCCGCCGTCGCCACAGAGCCACACTCCGTCCTGGATTCGCCACATTGCATACATGGAACTATGGGTAACCCCGCTGCCCTGCGTTCAGAGAAGTGAAGCATAAAGAAAGAGAGGAGCAGCTCCAGTTTGATTTATGTCAACGTTTGATGTATGTGAAGGTTCAACCAAGCGTACAGCTCACAGATTCACGCAGGGACGACCACAACGCAGCGTGACATGAGTGTGTGTGTGTGTGTGCGTGCATGCGTGCATGCGTGCTTACGTGCGTGCGTGCGTGTGTGTGGTAGAGAGGCCTTAATAAGCTCAATCAGGCACAAACCACACATGAGCCGCATGCTGCTGAGGCAGGGTTACCGCGGCGATGCACACGCGCTGCTGCAGCGCTCCGGAGCTAAAACCTGGACCTTCACTGAGGAGATGTTTTCTCTGAGGCTGCAGATCAACTCAACATCATCCTCAAATCATCTCTGAGTCTAGCAAATGAAGAAATCAAGGACAAATGTGAATTAAAAAAAAAAAAAGTAGTTTTCCCTTTAGGGACCGAGGAGAAGCTGCTCCTCAGAGAAGCTGAAAACTCGAGAAATATCAGTGATTTTATGTCCTCACAGAACTGATAAATGACTAACAGATGTTTAAGACTAACTGGGAACAGAATGCAAATCAATCTGTTACAGGCAGCAATGTGGAACTACTTTCAACAGGCAGGATAACGTCTCTCCCATGTCTGCAGATTTCCCTGGTCGTCGGCTCATAGTAGGTTTGGCAGCGGGCCGGGGCTTTCTCATGAGAAGTGTGTACGGCCTTACAGGACTAGCCATGTAGCACATCTCAGTACTGTTTGCTGAGGAGGAAACTGAAACTTAGAGACGGGAGAGGAAGGTGAAAAATAAAGCTGATAAGAGAAAAAGAGAGAGTGACAACATGTTACCCTCCTGTGTTTCCTCGTTAAGAATTCATGATAGTGCTTCCTTAGGCCATCAGTTCCTGTTTCATGTCGTTATTTCTTACCTTGTTTATGGATTGTGGGGTTAGGGGTGGGGTTGCTGTTTTGTTTTTTTATATAAAGCACTCTCCGACATCAACGTATGAAAAGTGCAGAACAAATATTTAGAGTTGATGTGCACGCAGGTTGTCATGTGTTGGACACTGAAGCTTCAGTGTTTAGCCAGCTCTGCATCGGTCTGTAAACCTTTCTGTGTTCTAACCTCTCTCCATTTTTCAAAAGCATCTCCAATATTGATCCTAGTTTGATCACGTTTCTGCTCGTGGAGCTTATTAGAAACATGCAGAGGCTTTTTAGGTCGGGTACAATCACTTCTATCTGAACCAGTTCTCTTGCCCGCTTCCATCGCTGCAACACCTGTTGGTTTGACCTGATAACTGCTCTCATATCTGGCAATACGAGGGGCGTCCAAAACGGTCGTGTGGGGGTGTCTTAAAACCACCTACCTTCTCTGGTCCAAACAAATCCAGATCATTCAGGACCAGAATCTAAAGTTAGAAGGAGGACATACTGGCTGCTGCATTGTTGTCAGAGAAGCCAGCACTTCAACATAGCATGTTTCCTTAATGTCTGATCATACAGTAAGCTCACTTTATCATTTCAGTTACTAGATATCTTACATGTTGGACCTTTAAGGACCTCTGTTAGGACACGCTCACTCGCATCGCATGCTGTAAGGACAAACTGTAGAAGAACTGGAACCTGAAAGCACATTATTTCCTGAGTTCTGCTTCAGTGAAGTTTCTTTCTTATCTGGAAGATGACTGACTAATCTTTCTCTCTGTGACACTTTTTCTGTTTCGGCTCTTATTTGCTTTAATTCACTAGCGGCAGAAACAGACTGTTAAATGTTTAAAAAGAAAACGACGTGCAGCCTTCAACTCGTCTCTAACTGAGCACAGATTTACTGTTTCAGCCCTCAGGGTGAAATTCACAGCTGATTCAATGTTTAATGTTTCTCCTCCTCCTGCAGAAATAACATCCAGCAGCTCCTCACATCCATCAGGCCCCGGCACAGAAAGATGAATCCCTGAGAGCGAAACACATCAGCCACAAAATCTGCTCCATCTCCTCCTCTCTCTTTTATTCTGTCCCATATCTCTCTGTGCTGAGCAGGTAGATAGAAAAATTATTCAAATTGAATCCCCATCTGCAGGTAGGAGGGAGGGAGGGGGAGAGGAGGAGAGGGGGTTGGGACAGACAGGGATATGGGGGGAAGATTTCTGGAGTATTATAATTTCCAGGAGGAGCAGAGTGGAGTGCGATGTGAAGATGCAGCAAAGAAGAAGATTTATGTTTATCATTCTGTATTTTGTTCATCCCTCACGAGGAAGATATTTATAAAACCGGCAATTTCAACGTCATAACACCACGAGCTGATATGAGAGCAGCTATCACAGGATCTGAAACTGTAACAGAATGTTCAGACAAAAAGAAAGATTAATTTTCCCTTTTCAGACGGCTTCTTTCACATAGGGGCCGTAACTAAGCTCAGCCGCCATCACGTCTTTGTACATTCATATTGCTTTTGTGATGCGGTAACATTGGTGTCCCGGTCTGCGCTCATCTGCTGGATCGGCTGAAACCGTTTTTCCCTCTTTTAATATTAGTATTTGAAGCCTGAGTGACGTCACCCATCTGTTCCTGCAGGGGCCGAGACAGGCTGAGAGCTGGAACTGAGGCAGGTTTTAAGCCTCTTGATGAACCGTTACATCGCGCCTACCTGTCAATCATGTCAGCTACACTCCTAACTATGAAAAACACTTATCATTCATAAAATCAAAAGAGAGCCAATTAAAAAAAATTCACCCCCCCGTACAGTGTGTGCCAGTGATGACAATAACAAATCAGACCTATTTGTTTTTTTATACCAAGCTGTAAATATGTTTATTTATGCTGAAAAAACTGCTTTTTTGAATGGGTGCATGGGACTTCTGAAATGAATAAAGAATCTTCTCTGTTCCTGGTTTTAATGGGGACAAATCTGCAGGAAGCTTTTAGGTTCAGTCTCTAATAGCTGAACATCAAAACATCAAAATTTCTCTTTATTTCACATTTCTCTTGATGTCTCTTTATTTCACATTTCTCTTGGTGTCTCTTTATTTCACATTTCTCTTGGTGTCTCTTTAGTCACTCGTTGTGTATTATTCACTGAGTCAAGGTTTGAAGGAGCTCTGCGAGGGAGTTGGTGCATTATGATGTGACTGTGTTGTCTCTTTGTTCCCTCAGACGTTTTATAAACACACTCACCTTTAAAAAGAAAAAAAGAAAAAAAAAGAAAATCTGAAGTCACATGGCGCTCTGGCCTTCAGTGCCTGTGAAGAAGCCCGACACTGTTTCAGGAATGTGTGTTATGATTTTTTCGCTCTGAATGAGAGAAATTTTGCTCTCTGATTCATGAATAGAACGGCAGCCTTGGCGATGGATGTCGGTGTTTGAAGCCAGAGAGGGGGGAAAAAAAAGAGCTTTTGTGAAACCTACGGACGGCCTTGATTCCACCAGAGAGGAGGAGGAGCGGAAGGACAGGACAGAAGCAGGAGGGAAAAAAAATCAAATGAATCGTACATTTTGCCTTTCATTGTGGTGCTGTCATTAATCACACAGTGAGGGGGTTATATGTTTGGGAATAAGCAACATTGCTCCTCAAGTCTTGATAGTATTGATCTTATTGTCTTTAGATACCCTACTGATAGTTGAAGTGGGTTAGTGTCCCGTTTGTAAGTTGCATTAGGCATTAGATCTATATCGTTTTTTTTCCGGCCAGAAAAGTGCTGGCTGTGCACTTGGCAGTGCTAGCATGAAGCGTTTGTGCTGCACGTCCGTCCTGTCTCCATGACAACAGTCTGTTGACAACGGCCGCTGAAAGACGCTCCATCACTTTTAACTGTATGTTTTTAACAATCAAAGGGTTGTGACTTCACAACAGTGAACAGACCTAGCATAGTCCGAAAACTTGGGAAACGAGAACACAATAAGACTTAGAATACAACATCTGAGAGAGGGTTGTTAGCTGCAAAAGCACACTGATAGTTGTTTATAGAGATAAATGAATGCTAAAATGTGGACGGTCGATATGTTCCAGGATGGCTGATTGTGTTTCACCCCTTGGATTTCTGTCGGACTAGAAACAGAAATCAGATCATTTCCAACATCAGAAATCACATCTCTAGCCTGTCACTATGAGCCTAATCTGTTAATAGAGATATATTCTCATTGAATTCAGTGTCTTTTTATTGGTAGAAGTCATTAAACTAACCAAAAAGGACGTCAAAATGATCTGTAATCATCCTTTAAAAATGTCAGTCACCAGCCTCTCCAAAGTCCCTCCACACAAACAAACCACACACTTAATAACATCGTCTGTGACAGTGGATCTGTGAATCTCCGGTCTCAGCACATACGAGGAGCAGGATGAGATTTAATATTCCACAGCGGTGAAGTTCTGTGATTATTAAAGATGTGTGAACGCAGACGGATGATGCGGCCGCAGCGGTTCCCACTGAGCGGAGAGTAATGAATGAGGAAACGGGGGGAAATAAAAACCTCCACGTCCGTTTCCTGTGTTTATTAACGAGCCGAGGGTTCCCTGATGACGGCGTCAGCATTCACACTTCCTGCTTACAGAGGGCCTAAAAAGTCCATGACAAGAGCTCGAGCCGTGAGGGAGAGGAAGAGGGGGGGGAATGAAGGAATTAAAGAAGGGTTAATGAGGGAGACATATAGAAGTTCTCCTGTTGGCTGGTGATGATGGAGGCATTACAGAAACTGAGAGGAATCTCTCTGATTGGCTGTTTGGAGGTTTCATTTATCTGCAGCTCTCGACACAGGTTCAGGAAAGCCCCTTGAGCATGCCATTGTTAGTATCCATGCTTTCACCCATTCGTGCCATTTCACCTTATTTGTGTCCTCCGCCTCTTCTTTTCTTTTTCCACTAAAAGACCAAGAGATTAGAACTCCAGCGCCATTTTCAACTTTTTATCAGACATTATTTTCCATTAGTAGTCTACCTATATTACGAGTGGTGACCGACAGCTGTGTGAAAATGGTCTTCTCGTATCATAACAACGGACTACCTGTTGTTCCTGGTGCTGAAAGGGAGTGACCAGAGGTGCTGACAGGAAGTGACCAGAGGCAAAGCACAACATCGAAAGGCTGTTCTTGAGAGTTCTAATCAGCATCAAAACCATCATCATCATCATCATTAAGGTTGTAGGTGTTCATGAAAGAGCTGGGTCTTTAGCTTTTTCTTAAAGGTGCAAAGCAGTTCGTTCCAGTACACCTTTCAGTGGCAGAGCGTAGCGGGCAGGAGGGAGTCTTAAATTTGATGCGAGCAGTAACTGGGAGCCAGTGGAGGCAGATGAACAGCTGAGTGACAGATGCTCTTGAAGGGAGGATGAAGAACAGTTACACTGCTGCGTTTTGGATCATCTGAAGGAGTTTGATAGTGTGTAAAAATGTTGAGAAATGTAACATTAATCAAAAAAAGCGTGGACATGCTGTCAGTTACTTTCTGACAGAACTTGTTTGTCCTTTAACAGAAAACGTCACAGAGATCTCGACTGCGGAGGAGGTGATTATTGGAAATCACGGCCGACCAAATGGCTCCATCTCAACTTATATGAACTCCTTATCGGCCATGTTCTGCAGCTCTGATTCACCAGTTGAGGTGTTGCATGGAATATTTGTGTGCTGGTGAAACCTGATTCAGCTTCTGCAGGATGTGTAATTTATTTTTAGATGGAACGCTGTACAGAGGGTTCTGATCAAACTCAACACTCAAGCTGATCTGTTTGTGACTCAGCAGCTTGAAGATTAGTTTCATGTCTTGTAGGTTCCTCTGGATGGTGGGGACGGCCTAGTGCAATGGATTTTAAAGCTGTGATTTCTTGGTAACACACAGTGCTGCTTTAAGTGTGAGGTGAACGTGTCAAGTTTCCACTCAGCCAAAGAGTTCAAGCAGCGTGTGGAGCGTCTCTTTGTTGGAAGAAGCCGATATATCACCCGGCAGTGTGAGGGTTGAATTTAGAGCTCTTTGACAGTTTTAGTCATTGATTAGTGGGAAGGCCTTAACCCCTTTTATAAATGACTTCCCCTCAGACGTTAAAAAAGCTGCTGCACTGGATTTAACTTACGGCTGGTCCTCCTGTGTGCCAGAATGTAAAGATTTCCACATACTCTGTGTGCTAGCATCACTATGCCGTTGTTCGCTGCTACTCTTGTCAATGCTTGTGTTTCCACAGTTCAGCCACAAACTCAAGAGCAGAAGAGAAAGGAATGAAACTTAGGATCTGCTGGTTTCACAGTGAATCACACCAGTAGTAAGATTCACCCGCAGTGCGTTAAGGATTAAGAGGGAACATGATGATTTAGCTTGTGCAGCTCTTACCGTTGAAGCCGACAGCGCGGATGTGGGCCAGCAGCTCCTTGCCGTCGATGTTGGCCATGCGGGGGCAGAGGCCGGGGTATCCGGCACAGAGCTCGCGGTGCATGTGGTGCAGAGCATGGGCCATGGCGTACACCGCGTCCATCACAAACTGAACCTTTCCCTCCTGCTCGTAGGTTGAGTCACGGCCCACTTTCTCCAGACCTGGAAGAGAAACGAAAGAGATGTCAACTGATCTGTCACATTTAAACACGTCGGACTGATTCTTCAACTTCTATACCCCCATTCCAGGATGATAAATAACTTCATCATGGACTTCTCATCAAGACGTTACCATCCATTAATATTTCTAATCTTTCTTGATGATGTTCAAAATTTCACTTTAAGTAAGACGTTTTAAAGAGAAGTGTGCTTCTCCTTGATTTCCCCCCTTCCGATCCACGTCTTTGTTTTTAGTAAAAGAGACACATTAAGTGTGTCCAACGGTGACTAATTCAACTCTTCTTGTTTTATTTAGTACCTGATATGAAATATGAACTGTGTAATCATGAAGTATTATACTTTATTGATCCTGTGAGGGTAAATTCAACGCTGAAACACAAACACATGCACAAACAGGATCCTACGGACACACGTGCACTAATGGAGAGGTGTCAGAGTGACAGCGCTGCACACAGTAAGCGCTCCTGAGGTGGTGAGGAGGGGGTTTGGTGCCTTGCTCAAGGGCACCTCAGCAGGGCTCTCTCCAGCTACTAGACCAATTTCCAGAATTGGTCACCAGCGACCCCTCAGATTCCAAACCCAAATCCCAAACTGAGTGACTGCTGCCCATATGGTTTTTAACTTAAATATAGATACAATTTTTTTGCCTAACCCTACCCTAACCCCTAACCCAGTCAGTCACATTTGTAATTCAGGTTATACTGGAATCTATTGAAATGTATGATCATTTTTGACAGCAATCTTTACAATTTTTCATATGGGTCCCGGGGGGCTCAGCTTCTCTTAGATATAAGTCAGGGCGACTAAAGGGATAGGTTAGGAACCACTGGTTTTGAGTAATGTGGTCCTCAAACTGATAATTACATACGATCATTTTGGTCTAACAAGGCAAACACATATGAGAAATCATAAAACATTTAGAAGGTAAAGCACAGGAACAGAGAAGCCGGTCGTCAAACTTTACTCACTTCTTGTCTGAGCTCTTTCTCTGAGTTTCTGAACCAAAAGATTTTGGAGTTTGTCCTTGCCGCTGGGCAGAGAGTAACTCACAAAGGATTATGGGAATGTGAAAAGAGACGCTGTCCCTTTAACTAGCCCATTACCATATTAAAATACATTTGAGTCCATCTCATTAGCCATGATTAAATAACAAAGTGGAGGAGACATCGTCGTGTTTGATTTGAAACTCTGTAAATTCCTACTGAAAATTTTCTCAGAGTAATTACGGTTATTAGAGCCACGGAGCTGTGCGATCACGCCGCCGGCTACACAGCGAAGAGGAAGAGAAGGGGAGGAGGAAACTAACTGCTGGACCGGACCCTCCATCAACAGACAAGACGTCTCAGAATTAATAGGAGCTTAGAAATGAAATCCAATTTAATTTTAATAGCAGGCGGGCGGCGAGGGGGAATCCGTCCAAAGGGAGACATTTGCAGCAGCAGTAAAGACTGATTGCACGTCTGTGCGGCGGTAATGAATGAGCCGGGAAATGCGGGCCGATGATGTCAGAGAGGAGATGTACAGTTGGGATGCAGACCATGGCGGCCCGCTGCGCATGATGAGTGCCTTCTTAATATTTAAAGAATACACATGTTGGACCCTGTAAATTCAAATGGGGCCTGAAGGCAGCGTTTTAGATTTACAAGAAGCTCCTTGACCCCGGGGTCTGACTCTGACATCTGTGGAGGAAGAGCCTCCTACTGGATCACACTTGATTTAGTTTGTATAAACCGGCTCTGTGACTTTATTTGACTTTAGTCTAGTTATTAGCCCTCGTTCCTGTTTCAAGGAGCATTCTTTATTTCGTGTAAAATTCAAGATGCAAGGACTACATATGTTACATGTTCTCCTTGATTTGATATATTTAAGTTCTACCAGTTTACAAAAGGACAAAGTAGGAAAAGAACTTGCTAAAAAGTTACATCAAAATAAGATCTAGTAAATTGTAATAAGTATAAAGGTGAGGGTAAATCAGCGGCGCCCCCAGGAATGGATTTCATAGTTTGCACAAGGACCATTCCAAACACGATCACAATGACAGAGCGAGCGAGAGAGAGAGAGAGAGAGCGAGGAGTCAGTGCATTGACGCAACCCATACAATAAGATAACTCAGATTAACCTAAAGTAGTCAGACGCCTGGCCTTTAAATAAATATTGAGTATTGAGGTTGGAGCCAGTGTCTAATCTAGCACCAGTTCTTTGTGTTTGGACAGCCAAAGATCTGTAGCAGAGTAGCAGCTACTCCTTGCTGGTCTACAAGAAAGAGCTACTGACCAAAATAGATGCATGCAAAACTTTGTTGTGACCACCTTGAGGACAGACCGGTTAACATTTATGAAGTAGTCTTCCTAACCTCTGTCCCTTCATATCCAACTCCTTAGCCCATCCTGTTGCTGCAGATGGCTTTGCACCAGTTATTCTGGTTCTGCTTGAGGTTCTCTCCTCTGAAGCTGAAGGATTCTCTTGATTCTGTTACCAAATTTTGTTCATGGTGGATTGATGTTGGGTCTCTGTTAGGGCTGTGAATCTCTCTTTTTTTCAGACAATTTTGATTCTCTCGAGCTATACGATCAGATTCAGGGACGATTCATTCAAATCTAAAAACGATTCAGGGGCGAAAGTGAGCACTGTGTTTGGCCACCTGAATGCTGTTTTGACTTCCTGTGTACAAACAGGCGCTGATGACTGATGATGATGAAAGTCAGTGACTGAGGTGAAGCGGCGTGCTCAACAGACAGCTTCATCACGCCTGCTGGCATTTCAATTACACATCACTTATGGGGCAAATTTAATTCCTTCCTGACAGGATGGACGTGTTTCTGTTTACACCTCTCTCTTTCTCTCTCTCTCTCCCTCTCTCTCCCTCTCTCTCTCTTGAAGGCATCCTTCTGTTTCAATTAGATCTGTAAATTAGATAAACGGCAAACTAATTACAGAGGTTAGCAGGGACAGGATGAGTTCAGGGGGGAAAGCCTTGCCATGGTGCCTCACAAGCCTGAATACATCAACATGAATGTAGGTTTTTCATTGGCTGTTGTTTATAAGTAATATCAGTCTGTGTCAGATTCATCAGCGCAGCATTAATAATGATGTTTCCTCACAGCGCTGGTTCTGACTCATGTTCTAAAAACATGACAGACACGACTGAGGGCGGCTCAAACATTGAAGACCGTGCTCTGCATTAACAGCCTTTTTCATTTTCCCCTTATCTTCATGTGTGATAAGTTATTCACATTAAAGCAGAGCACATCATAAAAACTGACATAAATAATTGTAACTGTCACTCAAATGTCCATCAGCTCAACCTTTCTCTGCTCTGTGACATTTATGAGTTATCATTCAAAATATAGAAACCTCTCTCACTCTCTCACTCTTTTCATTCAGCATAAAAACACTCAGTCAGACTTCACTCAGGTGTTTTTGAAAGGACAAAAAGTGACTCTAAAACCAAAGTTGTAACCGGGTGAACAACAAGTCATCCTCAGAAAGACAAAGTATCATGTATGCACGTTTTTCACTTTATTCCGGCCTGATCGGGTATTTCTCCAGTTATGCTGCTCACGCTCCAGAAACAGAACCCAGTGGGGCAGGACGAGGGGCCGTCCAAAGTCAGGATCAACAAGTCACAACCTGTGTGCACCATATAGACCAACAAGACTAATTCAAGACCAACAAGTCCCAAGTCAAAACAGGTACAGGCCAATCCCAGCCCAAGTGTAAAGGCCCTGACACACCAAGCAGACAGCAAGAACTAGTGGCGATGAAGACCGTCTTGGCCAAAAAGTTGCACTTGAACACACCGCAAAGACTACAGCCGACAGCTAACCACTGCAAATGCTCTGTGCATGCATGAGAGGAAATAAATCTCCCTGCCAGCAGGCGGTGGTAGTCCGTTCTTATGATACGAGAAGACCATTTTCACACCGCTGTCGCTCACCACTTGTATAGGAAGCCTACTACTTGGTCTTTTAGTGGAAAAAGAAAAGAAGAGGCGGAGGCGACAAATAAGGAGAAACCACACTAATGGGTGAAAGCATGGATACTACAGCAACATGCTCGAGGGGCTTTCTTCAACCTTTGTCGAGAGTTGGAGAGAAATGAAACCTCAGAACAGCCAATCAGATAATCCTCTCAACAACCGCGCTGACGCCGATTCAACATGTCGTATCGGCCAGAAAAAGGCAGACAGGTAGCGAAGGAGCCGGACACACCGCAAAAACTAAGGCTATACCACTCACAGACGGTCCAACTAAGACCAACAGTCGACGATATAAACAACTCTGAAGTAGAGACATTTCTAGACATATCTCATTTGGGGAGTAGCACATGAAAAAGTTCCAAACTCTGAGCTCTGCTGCAACAGATATGATCATAATGAAGTCGTCACTGAGGAGCAAAAAAAAAAAAAAACGTTCACAGCCACCGTCTTCTCTTCAAAACAAAGTGTGTCTGAGTTCTGCTGAACACTAAACAGCTGCTCGATCTCTGACATGGAGGCAGGCTTCTCCCTCCGCAATTCTTTCAAACTGAAAGAGACACTCGGCGTCTGTCGACACCACTTCTTTATCTGTGACGTCTCCAAACAAACAAACAAACAAACAGCAGCAGCACAATGCTTGGAAAAAAACACACACATGGAAAACACACCAAAGGCTTTGAAATGTAAATCCTGCTCTCACATCCACTCAGTGTAATTCACGGGAATCTGGAACACAGAGGAAAACAAAAAGGAAGGAACACGGCTGTAAAAAAAAACAAAAGGTGAGAAAACAATGCGCCTCTTAAGTCAGCAAACGCATCGTTCAACAAAGCAGAAGAGCGGTATGAAATATTCATGTTCTCTTCTGTTGAAACAGTGTTTTTGGAGTCTCCAGGTGGAAGAACTGATCCTCAGAGTGAACAACAAGGTTTCTCCCTCAATGAGAGAAGAAGCGCTTATTCCTCGACAACTCAACTCCTGCTGAAAATACCTCGACCTTCTT